TTTTTTTTTACTTTTTATTAGCTATGTTTTTGTGCGCCAGCAATACCAAGCGTAGGGTTCGCGCATACCCGATTTGATTTTATTACTCATCAAACTGAAATTATTTTAGGCAGGATTGGAGTGAATTGGTCCATGAGACCTTGGACTTGGTCAAATACATCAATCGAAAGAGTTTCACCTCCTGAGTCCAAAACTGTAATTAGATCTCAAACCGGTCAAGAGATGATGGAGCTATGTGCTAAAAGTTTGTACTTAAAAAACTCGGAGCCATTCTATGAGCCTCTATACCGCTATTAAAAAGCGTTTATGTTGTTGGTTGTAACTAGTAAAAGAACTTCAGAAATATTATTCTACTGATTATACCTTCATCTCTGGTTATAACTGGTATAAATCGTCATATATAACATTAGTTCTGATCACAATTACTCTAAAGCGTCAGAAGTAATATTAGTTACGATTATAACTGGTACAACAGCTTTATATAACTCGAAAATTTTACGTTTCAAAGTGTGTTCGACGTTAAAATTGAAAATCGCAAATATCACGTGGTAACAGCAGTTATTCGACCTACCTGGCCTATTTCCTTCTTGATTTTGTATTGGTTGAGCTGCACATAATTTGGATAGGTTTCTATGGAAACACGACTGGACTCTTTCGTCGGGTTCCTTCGAAGGCGGGGAGAAGAGTTGGGTGAGCAGTAGGGAGAAAATGGGAGAGACGGGTAGATGGGCCGATTCGACCCACTCCGGACCATATGACTATCCTGAGAGTGGCTGTACGTAATTCGAGGCACCCGGTTATGTCCACACTTTGGTATAGAGCGAAACGCACTCCACGAAATCTCATGTTCCGATGAATCACCTGATGGCTTTTTTGCCATCCTCAGGTGGTAGAGATGTCCGTCTGAGACCTTCGCTTCCCCAGCAAGGTTTGAGAGTAAGTCTTTCCACTTTTGTTTGAAGATCCTCCCGCTGTTCTTCCAAGGAAAGTTTTTCTTCCGCACTCTCTTGAACATGTATGGGGACACGACTCCACAGCTGGGGGGAAACGTCCCCCATAGAGCTCCTACATTCAGCCTGAGCAACGCCTGGCCCCATCTTCACTGTATTAATAAGGTCGTCATCTGTAGGTCTCAATCGCTGTTTACTGGGAGCCGGCGGTACATCTTGGGAAGCCAGCACTTCAGAAAGGTCTTCATCTTCTGATTTGTCCAGACAGCTATGCCTACAGGAAAATAAACACGGTAAACTAAAGATCTGTTATGTAGAATATTACCTAAAACAGTGTAATACTCTCTCATGACCAAGAACTTGTAATTCAAGGTGTTTGTGATCAGTGTTTGGAACGAACCTGTAATTATTCAATATATGGTACCTCTAGATTATGCAAGGACATACTCTATTGGGTTAGCTAGGAGATACTAAGCATTCTTCTCTCTATGTTTACCAAATTATGGCAACAAGTTTATTCCTAGTCCGCATATCAATAGTAAAGAATCATAACTATAAACGCACATGACTATGTGGTATTCAGGTACACTGTGATGACCGCATGCAGAACACTTGCGCGAAAATTCGAGAAAAGAAATATTCTACACTACTTATGGAAACGTTACATCACTGTAGCTATTTCATTTACGATAACTATGTAGATTGTAAACCCATGTTCTCGTTAAAGATTAAAGGCCAACAGTAATCCATTCCACACTGTAATAATTGAGTTAAAGTTCAACAGCTGAGAGAATCTTTCCATTTTTCGTGATATATATTAAACACAAGAAGAATTGTTATTAGGTCGACAAGAGGATAATCCCAGTCACAATTAGGTAGTTATGGTTATTATATCGGTCGTAATCAAGATTTCTTTGGTTCTTTAACTTGATCAAACTTTACACACCTGATTTTAGTCACAGCCAATGCTATAAAATAAGGCTTCACGATCTGATGTAATTCATAATCAGGACTATGAAGGTCTAGAAAGCCATTCATCTTCTAAAAATATCCTAATACCAATAAACAGTGTAAAATTTAACAAACCAATCAGAACGCTGAACTTGTTTTAAGATGAACACTATATTGTATATCACCATCCCGTCTAACAGGCTATGTTTTAAATGATACAATTCATCTTTGTTGATGTATAAGTTGCTGGACTGTAAGATCAACACGAGGTAATATATCACCACCCATTCTATCAGGCTATGTTTTAGCTGATACAATTCATCTTTGTTGATGTATAAGTTGCTGGACTGTAAGATCAACACGAGGTAATATATCACCACCCATTCTATCAGGCTATGTTTTAGCTGATACAATTCATCTTTGTTCCTGTATGATGTGCTAAACTGCAAAATCAACACTATATAGTATATCATCATCATTCCGTCTATCAGACTATGTTTCAACTGATAGAATCCACCTTTGTTCCTATATAAGGTGCTGAAGTGTAAGCCTTTTCCTCCTGGTAGGACTGTAAAACATCACACGAAATCTTTAAAAATCTTAACGTCTGGCAATCGTTTTTCATTATTCGACTAAGTTCACATTTTTGACAGGCACACATTCTACACACTTACACACGTGTTGTTTGATTACAAAAATGTTAAAACCGAACAAATTTCTTCACTAATGATATTTATTTTGCTCTTCGGAAAATCCTAACAATTCACACTCATTACTTGAATACTGGTGCGCTAACTATTCGAGGAACTTTTAGTCTTAGTTCGTGACAGTAGTAGTATATTGTAAGCACTACTTTTCTATATATTTTAATATACTTTTAGTACATTTCTAGAACCAAAACAAACATAACTTTTTTCCTACATCCTCTTTTATTTCAAGTTTATCTACGTTTTTATACATTGTTCGTTGAAACACCCTGATTCCTAATTAACTGCATCCGGGCCCACCTAATTAAACTGTATTCAGACCTACTGTATGCTTGGTTTAACTTCATTCAAATTTACTTGGTACTTGGTTTAACTGTTTCTTTTGAATTTCGCGCAAAGCTACACGAGGGCTATATGCGCTAGCCG